TCACCGGGCAGCGGCTCTTTCATCCTCCTGACGGCTGACACCACGTTTGACGTGACTTAGTTCCCTCCGTGGCATCCATCCACCAGTTCTCAGTCTGTTTTGTCCTCAGACACATCCAGCTTTCGTCCCCCGAGTGGGAGCGAGGAGGGGTCAGGCGTGCAGATTAATTTCCTGGGTGCCGGGATGCTGGTACCAGCCTTACCACTTTGCATGGCCCACATCAAAGAGACGGCGACCACAAGGAGCAGATGAAGGCTTACTCGTTCCCTCACATCCTAATAATACATCCAAATGATGTTCTTTAAGCAATTCTTCCCAGTGTGGGGGGCGAGGGGGAGACGGGCAGTGTCCTTGTTGCCTTAGCTCTGTCTCCCTTCCCCCTGTCTCCCCCCCTCTCCCTCTGGCGGTTTCTCTCTATGTGCTTATCATGCTGGGGGGGTGGGGGGAAGGAGTGTTGGAATGGATCTTGTTTGTGCTGGATGCAATTCATATTTCCTTCAAGGTCTGTTTCCTGGACCGGCCGTCAGGAGATAATTTCCTCCTCCATTTGCTGCTTATCGCTCCCTGCACACACGACCCCCTGCCAGGAGGGAGAAAATCCGGCTCTCTCGCGTCTCAAACTTGTGATCCTTTGGTCTTCGCAGCCCAGGAGAATCTCATGATTGACAACGTGACAGGCATGCGGGAGTGGGTGGCGGGGCCTTCCCAGCCGAGAGGAGGCTGTTTGGAAACACCGGGGCGGGCCTGCCTCGCTTTACGAGAGCCTGCGGAATGGAAAAGACAGAGCGCCACAGGCAAGCCAGGAGCACTTATCCCAGTGGCGGGGGCCTTCCCTGTACAGAAGGGTTCTCCTTGGGCTTTCAGATAGACCCGGCCCTGTTTGGTATATTTTAAGAATATTTTGTTTTGCCCAGCTGGCATGGCTTCGTGGTTGAGTGTCCACCTATGAACCAGGAGATCACGGTTCGATTCCTGGTCAAGTTGTGGGCTTGATCCCCAGTGTGGGGTGTGCAGGAGGCAGCCAATCAATGATTCTCTCTCATCATTGATGTTTCTCTCTCTCTCTCTCTCTCTCTCTCTCTCTCTCTCTCTCTCTCTCCCCTTCCTCTCTGAAATCAATAAAAATATATTTTTTTTAAAAAATATTTAGTTTTATAAAAACCCAACTTATATACAATTTTTTTAAGGCCAAGGTTATAGAGTAGATGGAAGTTTGCTATTGCAAAGACAGTGTTTGTTCTCCGCTCTTAATTTTTTTTGAAAAGCTAAGGCAATCTCCAGGCTGAGAAGGGCCATGTGGTAAAAGGGTTCCAGTGTGAGCCGCAGAAAGCATGGGGCACTTGACAAGATAGAAACTGGTTTATCCAAATTCTCACGGGTAAAAAAAAAAAAAAAAATTCTCACGGGTAAAAGTAAGCTTTAATGCCTTCAAAAGTCACAAGGTGGATGGTAGCAGCTGGAATAAATGTGAACACATTTCAGCAAACATTCATTGTTCCTGCAGCAAAACGGCGGTGAAGTCTCACAGTAGCTCTCATGAAATGTTAAATCTGGTGTCTTTTGTTGGTCTTGAAAAGCGGAGGCATCTGCATGAATTCTCGTCATGGGAGGGATGGTCTGTGCCCATGGAAGGGGCCTGCTTCATACTAAAGGTGGTACCTGAGCAAGGAGCTTCTGCCTTTTACCTGGACGGCTGAAATCTGCTTTTATGAGGTTTTGGACCAAGCAATGAATTTTGACATTTTTTCACTTCCTTCACCTACTACAGCGGCCAGCATCTATTTCCTAGCCTGAGTTTCCCTCCCAGACCATCCTGTTAGGGAAGGGTGACAGCTCTGAGCTGCCCCACAGAACTCCACCCTGTGTCTAAAGTGATTCTCGCCGACCTCCCTTAGCTAACACCTGTGTGTTCCTGAGAGCCCGTCACATGGCTTCTCCTACGTTTGTAACATCACGGAAGCAGGTTTGCGATGTCTCTAAAACATAAGAAGAGCACGCCTGAGTGTGTCAACAGTCTGAGGATGAAAGAGGAAAAGGTCGAGGAAGACCATTGCCGGCCAGCTTCAGAGATGAGTAAATGTGTTTCCAGCTCGCCGCCCGCCCTGACTTGATTCGGCTGTGCCCTGGACTGTCTAATGAGGTTTAACTCCTTGTCTCAGTTCAAGGTCACGGGCAACTTCAGGATGCTAAGCTGCTGCCCTGGGTAACTGTCAGGAATCCTGCATTGCCACTTCTGGCCACAAGGGGTCCCAGCCCTCCAAGCGTCAACACCCAGGGATGGAAAGAGGTCCCAGCTCTTTTGTGAGATTCTGTGGGCAGAGCAGGTGGCTTGAGTGGGCGGCCCCCGGAGAGAGCTGCTGAGCTGAGTCCTTGGCCCTGGGTCAATAACCGTTTGGCGCTGTGGGAGCAATGATAACCCACATGCAATCGCTGTGCTTCGTGCTGTTACTGCAAACAGCAGAAAGCATGGCCCTGGGGAGCAGGCAGCTCTCTGTGCAGTCTGGGTTCTGGTCCCAGCTTTGTTCCCTCTACCTGTGTGGCCTTGGGCCCCCAGCCCCTCTGGGACGCAGTCTCCTCATCTGCCAGGGAAAGGGCTGGAATAAAATCTCGTCCTCTACAGCTTTGCTGCAACGTAAGCACCTGAAATAGCCCTGACATCAAGGGGTGTCTGAGTCAGCCTTCTGTTCAGCACCAACCGCCAGCTTACTTACTGAAGTCTTACATCCTTCTGCCAGATAAGCACCTCCTGGAAGCAAAAGGGGTGAAGTCAGCATTCTGTGCCCCGGAATTTTTCAACGTCAGAGCCAGAGGAGCACTCAGAGAACTTGGTACTGCAGGGGTTCTCAAACTTCTCTCAGCCTGGAACCCTTGACTCAGACAAACTCTGACATGGAAGCCCAAACAGAATACGATTAGCTGGACTCTGGTTAGAAACTGGAGCCCAGAGAGAGGAAGCCAGCTGTCCGAGGTCACTCAGCAACAGAGCGGCAAAGCTGGGTGGAGCTGCCCCCTCCTGGGCCCATCCCCCAGCCGTGACACTGAGCCTGCAGAGACGTGTGGGAGCTCAGAATCGTAAGAAAGGGCCACGTGTGGGGGACTGGGAATTGAACCGGGGCTTTGCAGTCGCAGAGTACATCTACTGGCTTTCCTGAGGGCGTGGCAGATCATTCATTCAGTCGGTCATTAATGCAAATTTTAATTAAGCACCAAGTATACACCAGGTACTGTGCTAAGCCCAGGCAGCTGTGGATAAGGCAGCTCGAGCACTCGCCCTTATTAGACCTGGAGGTTAGAGGCGGAGACAGACATGAACAAGTGATAAATGACAAGAAGAAAAATGCAGCGGAGTAAGGTGATGGAGAGTGACAGAATGAGGGTGCGTGGGTACCTCTCATTGGTCAAGAGCGGTGCTTCTCTGAATGTGGTAATTGCAGCTACCTGAGAACTCTTGGTTTCCAGGCTGCAGCAAGATAGAAGAAAGGCTCCTTCCCTGTTTCCACAGGAGCAGCCCTGGGCCATGAACAGCACTTAGAACCACCCTGGCCTAACATATCTCTGAACCATTAGGTCAGGGCTGTGTGTTGGTGTGCTAGGGTTTCAAATCCACATGCCTGTAACTTAAGTGAAGCTGTTTTGATCTAAGGAGTAATTTGTTTGCACTGGGGAGGCCATGTCAGGATGATGTTGTCAGAATCGTTGTGCTACTCAGTGTTGATTGATATGAACGTAGGAAAGAGCGGCTGTGGCGTCATGGACACCGAAACTTGAAATACCAAGCGTCTGCCAGGGCTTCCCGACAGTGTTTGGTGCAGCCAAGGCCACTCCCTCTGAGCTAGGTAGCTCTCTGAAGGTATTGGGACACTCGCTCCAGCCGTGGGCAGGACTGTTCTGTGCCCACAGTGGTGAATACCAAGCAGGAGATGACCTGGCCCGCTACAGGGCACCTTCACTCCCTGAGCATCCGCTTCTGCACCAGGGACGTTGAATGAGCGCTGGCAGCCGGGTGTCAGCTCCCGGTTGGCTAAGCCGATCCCTCCAATAACCAGCCAGTAGAAAGTCACCCCTCAGTGAGATTTGGGCTTCATTTCTTTCCTCTCCCCTTTGCCTGGAACAGTCGTGCCGTCAATCTGTCATTGCATTGGAGAATGTTCTTTCTTTATTGGCTTAAGAGACATGACCCTGTATGCTATTGGCTTGTGAAGTACTATTATAAATTATAACCCCCGCAGTGAACCTGTGTTAAATAAGTTATTGGCAAAGACCATTTCGGTCTCTGAACATAATTTTGCCACGAACAAAGCAGTCAGTGCCGCTGATGAGTCTGCTCCCTGCTCCGGGGCCCATCCACCCCGGGACTCATCCGCCCCGTCTCCTCTTCACTCCCACCTTCGCACTGTCACCAAGGGCGGTTATGGTGTCTCCCCCCTGGCAGCTGTGAGGATGGCGGGCCGGTCACTTCCTTCTAAAGGAAGACGTCCCATCCGAGTCCCTGGCCAGTGGTGAGCTTCGTGAATGGTGGGAACAGACCTGGTTCCCACCTCAGGCTTTGTCACTTACTGGCCATGTGATCTTGAAACTGTCTTTGGTTTTCCTTAATTCTAAAATGGGAACAATGGTGCTTTGCCGGAATAGCTCAGACACAAGGAGCTTGAGCCAGGGCCTGGAACTCAGGAAGTGGGAGCTCCCATTACTGTGTGCGCATGTGCTTGTGGTGTATGCATGAATGTGTGTTTGCATGTGTGTGTGAGCATATGAGTGCATGTGTTTTCACATGTGTGTGCCTGAGTGTGCATGCACATGTGTGTGTGCTTGCGTGTGTATGCACGAATGTGTGTTTGCACGTGTGCATGAGCATATGAGTGCATGTGTTTGCACACGTGTGTGCCTGAGTGTGCGTGAGCACGTGTGTGTGAGGCACCCATCGCCTCCACCACTGTTGGAGAGTCCCTCCCAGGACCCACTGGGCCAGGGGCACTGACGGCCTCCCCGTCTCTCGCCAGATTGCCAGGGGATCATCGAGGACGTCGTCCTGCTGGGTGCGCCCGTGGAAGGAGAAGCCAAGCACTGGGAGCCTTTCCGGAAGGTGGTGTCCGGCAGGATCATCAACGGCTACAGCAGGTCAGCCCAAACCCCAGGCCCGCGGGAGTGCCCACACGTACTAAGCAGCTAGTGTGCCCGAGGCCTGGCCTTCGTCCCATAGGATGGAGAGCCTGGACACAGTCTCTCTGTGTCAGGCCTGAGACCAGGCTGTCACCATGACCAGGTCACAGGGGGACATGGTGAGTGGGACAGAGCTTGAGAAACAAAGGTTTGGCCTCATCGGAGGCCTCCAGTGCCCACCATGAGCTCGTATGCGCGTCATCTGGCAATGCAGGGAGGGGGCAGGGGCAGGCTGAGGTCTCTAAGCGTGGCTTTGGGCAGGGCAGGGTGATGGAACAGGAAGCTGGCAGTGATCGGGGAGCCGGTACCCAGGCCGTGCACCAGACCTCCGGCAAGGGGTGGGGGCCTGCCATGACTGACAGCTGTGGGCTGGAGAGGAGGCACCTGGCGTGGGGTTCGAGAGGAGGACTCGAAAGGTTTCAGCCACGGCTCTGCCCCAGACTTTGGGGAAGAAGAGCGATGACGTCCATCGCTGAGGCCTCAGGAGATGGGCCTGAGAAGATGCCGGGCCCGTCAGCCTCCAAATGGAGCAGGACAGGGTGGCCGTGTTCAGGAGCTCACGATTGAGAACCACACAGCCCGGGGTCCCCACGCTGCCTCAGTTTCTCTATCAGTAAAGGAGGGTGTTACTAGTGACTCCCGGGATTGCAGTGATGGTTAAACCTAGAGAGTGGCACATGGGGTTCAAGTACATGCAGATGCGGTTACTGTTTAGCAGCAGCAGCAGCAGCCACTTGGGATGTTCACTCCACAGACTCTGAGCACCAGCCTCGTGCCCGGCGCCTTCCTGGGGCTGCAGGGGAGCAAGCCCAGCCCCATGGAGCCTAGCATCCGGGCGGGGAAAGCAGGCAGCCCCAGGCAGACAAGAGGCTCCCCTGCAACACCAAATCCAGACGCTCCGAAACCTGAGGCCCTGCCCCGGGAACGGGAATGGCTCGGACATTCAGGGCCGAGCTCGCCCCGAGCTGATGAGAGGGTTGCTAGGCTGGCTTCTTCCTCCCACGGGGCTCGTGAGCTGAGTGACGTGAGGCCCCACGCAACCCCTGCAGGGGTGTAAGGTGATACACAAGCCAGATTACCTTCCTAAATCTGAAACGTTATTCTGAATTCTAAAGTCAGGAGGCTCCCGGAGGTTTGGGAGGGAGGACCCATATTCCAGGCTCATTGCTTCAAAAGCGCACAGTACTGGCCTCATCACCATGGAGGCTGACATGCCAAGCCCAGGTCCAACGGGCAGGTTGGAAGTTTCAGAAGCAGTAGGCCGGGTGACTAGAGGGCAGAAAGGAAAAAGAAGAAAAAATGACTCTGGGGTGATGGTGGGAGGCGACTGGCTCCATTAACACAACTTAAAAAAATAACAAAACAAAACAAAAATAAGGAGATAGGACGTGTTGGGGGAGTTTCCAGAGGGCGCTGGATGCAGCGCTAGACCTCAGAGGAGTTAGAATGCTCGAGAGGCAGTGGGGTCGTCAGTTTCCGTTACAGCCAGGGGGCAGGTGAGATCACTTGAAAGGCAACGGAGAGAGAGAGGAAACGCTGGCTTCTGAGTCTCAGGAATAAACTTCAGGGTGAGAGGGGAAGAGGCTCCAGCCAGAGGTTAGGGGCAACAGAATCATCCACCGTCCTGTGCCCGCGGCTTTCAGCTGGCACAGGAATACAGAGATGGACACTATGAGAGACGCTCACGGCTAGCGGAAGGGACACGTGGAAAGAGACAATTCTTCTTAAAATCTAAAAATGAATCTTGAAGCAGTGGGCTGGGGGGAGGATGTACCAAGTATTAGACGCTTTCCACCTCCCAGACCCTGGCTTTGTTATAATCATCTACTTTAATCCTCCCCAGACCCCATGGTGTTGGTCTTATGAATCCCATTGCACAGGTGAGGAAGCTGAGGCTCAGAGAGGTTAAGTCAAACGGCCAGTTAACTTTCATTTTCATCTAAGCTCCACCACCTTAAAGTAGGACCCTAAACCGGAACAGAATTGTAAGTTTTTATCATTTTGATTCTTTAGTTCACAGGAATAGCTAGCTGGGTACTTCAGAACTAAAGATAAAGATGGTTTTAGCCATAGATAGGGGGTTCAGCTAATCACTTTGTCTCTATCATACATACTCTAAGCTGAGTTTTTATAATCAGGATATGGTAAAAAAAAAAAAAAGAAAGAAAGAAAAAGAAAGAGAAGAAGAAGAAGAGGAAGAGGAAGAGGAAGGAGAAGGAGAAGGAGAAGGAGAAGGAGAAGGAGAAGGAGAAGGAGAAGGAGAAGGAGAAGAAGAAGAGACAAAAAGCAAAGAGCCATAACGTGTATCTACACATAAACGCACAGAATAAATACAAATAGTCAATAAACTTTTGAGAAGACGCCCAGCTTCACCATTAATGAAATAAATGCAGATTAAAATCAGTAAGAAGATAATGTTCATCACCCATGAGATGATCAAACATTGGAAAACGAGTAACGTTTTGTGTTGGTGAAGATTCGGAGAAACGAGCACGTTCGCACGTACACTGTCGGAGCACAAGCAGGGATAGCTATCGGAAGGTTTAAAGTGCCAGTTTTCTGACACTCCTCCCCCAAAGTTTGACTTCTAAGATCCTGACCTACTAGATACACACGTGCACAGAGAGGGTTGTAAACAGTGGATAGTTACGGCTTCATTTATAATTTAAAAATGAAAACAACCTGAAGGACCATAGATAGGGGCTAGTTTAAGGGAGAGAAAGTGGGTGCCACTGCACATACTGCAATCCCATAGATCAGCGGTTCTCAACCTGTGGGTCGCGACCCCTTTGGGGGTCGAACGACCCTTTCACAGGGGTCGCCTAAGACCATCGGAAAACACATATATAATTACATATTGTGTTTGTGATGAATCACTATGCTTTAATTATGTTCAATTTGTAACAATGAAAATACATCCTGCATATCAGATATTTACATGACGATTCATAACAGTAGCAAAATTACAGTTATGAAGTAGCAACGAAAATAATGTTATGGTTGGGGGTCACCGCAACACGAGGAACTGTATGAAAGGGTCGCAGCATTAGGAAGGTTGAGAACCACTGCCCTAGAGGAATAATGATATTTATATATATATATATATGCCTAAGCGACCAATACAAACAAACGACCAGTCGCTATGACGTGCACTGACCACCAGGGGGCAGATGCTCAACACAGGAGCTGCCCTGAGTGGTCGGTGCACTCCCACAGCCAACCTCCCCTCGCCAGCCAACATCCCATGAGGAAGGTTGAGAACCACTGCCATATATGAAGGGAGAGCTGTCTGCCCGTCAGCCCCCAGGAAGGTGCAGGAGGGCCATCAGGAGCTGATAACAATGGCCACCCCTAAGGAATGGACAGGCACCAGAGGTAGGACATGAAAGAGACGTTAATTGATATTTTTTTTTAAGTAAGGATTGTTTTAAAAAACAAGAAAAGAAACAGGATGGACCAGCCTTGGGTGTGAGACCATCCTCGGTTAAAATTTTGGCTCCACCGTTACCTATTGCGTGGCTTTGGACAAACAGCTCTGAATCCCGGTGTTCCCGCCTATCAAGTGGGAATGGGAGTCCCTCTGCACAGGGGTTCTGGGAAAATTAAATGAGGTTCTAGGGAAATTAAAAAGGGTGCCCAGCAGGTGCCCAGGAGACGATAGCAGTTAGAATGACTGTCGCTGGCATCCTCGCATGACACACGGCTTTTGGGGGCTTGTCGTAAGCAGCAAGGGAAAGAATTAAAATTGCATGTGTGCCATGTGAGATCAACAGACTCTTATTAAACCCATCTGTTCTATTGAGAACCGGAGGCTAATAAGCTTGCTTTTCAATTATTCTGTGAAATCCTGGGCCATCTCTTGAGACAGAGGAGGAGGAGGAGGAGGAGGAAGGAGAGGAGAAGAAAGGAACGTAACAGACCAAGACAATAACTGCAGTTTCTTGGTAAATTAAACACCAATCAGAAATTTATATTCTTGGTTCCCAAAGGCATTTTAGTTGCCGTGAGCCTACTTGGACGTGGAGTGAGGGGGTGGGGGGCGCGTCAGGCCAACACTATCAGACTAAATACACTTACAAATGTTTAATGTACATCAGTAAAGCTCTATACAAACCCCTTCACAAACACCCCCCCCCCGACCCCCCGAGCCTAGCCAGGCAAGTGGTACTGCTCCCGTGGTACCGGGAGGAAACTGGAGGGTCAAGTTCCTCACCAGCACCACACAGCAGAGCCAGGATGGGAACTCAGGCAGGCCTGTCTCACTCGCAAGAAGAAAGTTCCATCCTGCCTCTCAGGGGGACTCCGTGTGGCCTCTGCTCCAGGTACCGTGTGGTCAGGAGGTGAGGTAGAAGGAGGAGCAGGGCGGACCCACAAGTGGCTCCAGGCCTCTGAGTAGCCAAGGAGCGCCCTCCAATGGGCTGTGTGGTGGCCAGTTAAGGGTCCAGCTGTGTGATTCGTGCCCCAGCATCGCCTGGAGGGCCACGGAGGCAAGGCTTGCTGCGCCCCACCCCAGGGAGTCCCTGATTCAGCTCAGGATACAGGAGACGGCACTAAGGCACTGTCCTGGGGAAAAGAGCCAGGACCGGACACACGGAGGGTGTGTGACAAACGTCACAAAAGGAGCATAGATGTGAAGGACAGAGGAGTAATAATATCAGCTGGAGGGGTTCAGGGGCGCTCCCCGGGGAAAGTGATCCAAGCTGAATTTTGAAAGGATGGATAGTCTCTCAGCCCACAGGGACTAAAGGAGTAGACCAAGCAGGAGAGGCCACACCACCCACGAAGGCCCAGAGTAGGAGGCAGATTGGTACCCGATGCTTCTCAAGTGCTCGCGTGGGAGCGCTGTGCACATGGCGTGCCATCTCAGTGCACGCTCCCACCCACCCCGAGACGAGGCTGAGACTCAGAGGGGCCAAGCAACTTGTCCAAGATCACACAGCTACCCATCGACCAGGCGGGACTTGAACCTGGCTCTATGTGACCCACTCCGGCAAGGGAGGCAGAGGAGGGGTCTTGCAGGCCCTGTGGTTTGCTCAGCACAGTTTAGAGAACATGGAACCTTCTTACCGATGTTCCTGCTCAGTCCCTCGGTGCCTGTGAATGCAATTTACAGCTTTGAGTAGAGTGCTGTCATAAGACAAACATTTCGAAAGGAACGATTCTGACTTTGCTCATTTATACCAGTAACTACCTGTGTCAGAAGCAGCAAAGGAAAGATTTAAAATTGCATGTGTGCCCAGTTCCTATTGGTCCACTCCCCCAGGAGGACCCGGCTGCGTTTCTTTCCCAGGGAGCCCTGGACCAGGCATCCCGGGGGAACTGGGAACGCCTCTGAGCCGAGAGCACCTCTCCTGCTCCACGTGCTGACTTGTCGAGAACTTCGCCCAGTTTCCTCATCCATCCATCCATCCATCCATCCATCCATCCAACAGGCAGCCATCTACTACATGTCATCACTGTTCCCAGCTCTGGGCACCCAGCAGGGAACAAAGCAGACACCTTCGTGGCGCTCCCATGCCCCGGGCAGCACTGCCAAGGGTCCCCTGCGGTTCCCACCCCACGGGTCCAGTCAGGGCCCTGGTCTCTCACAGAAACACCAGTCCCACCAGACTCCCCTGGGGCTTCCCTGAGGCTGGCGTTCACCCGTTCTGTGCCCGCAGGGGGGACTGGCTGCTGAGCTTCGTGTACCGCACGTCCTCGGCGCAGCTCCAGGTGGCCGGCCTGCAGCCGGTGCTGCTGCAGGACAGGAGGATGGAGAACGTGGACCTGTCCTCCGTGGTGAGTACCCCGCCTGGCCCTCCCCGGGCTCTGCGTCTGCCAGCGGGCACTTCATTCACCAGGGACTCTAGCCCCGGCCCGTTCCTTCCCGCAGAGAGAGCACGGCATCTGCTTGGGAAGAGAGGCCTCCTCTCTGAGCAGCATCCCTGTGCCGAGGCTTCGTCACCGGGCCCTTTACACACTTTGCCTCTAATCCAGTGGTTCTCAACCTGTGGGTCGCGACCCCTTTGGCGGTCGAATGACCCTTTCACAGGGGTCGCCTAAGACCATCCTGCATATCAGATATTTACATTACGATTCATAACAGTAGCAACATTACAGTTATGAAGTAGCAACAAAAATAATTTTATGGTTGGGTCCCAACATGAGGAACTGTATTTAAAGGGCCAGAAGGTTGAGAACCACTGCTCTAATCCTTAACGCAGCCTCAGGACCAGCATTATTACCCACGTATCGCAGGTTAGGAGATGAAACTGAGGCTTAGAAAAGTTTCTATCACAAACTGGCAATTAATTGCCTGCACTTGAACCCCCAGAGCCCATGCTCTGGCCCCTACATTACTGCCCCAGTCCTCTCGCCTCCCCTCCCCTCCCCCATTCCTCCTCCCAGGATCCCCACCCTGAGTCCCTCACCCCAGATGACTAGTCAGGACAGTCTGTTTTCTCCAAAAGTAACCAGAGGATGCAGGTGGAGGAAACAGGCCAGGCCACAGCAGAAGCACCTGGTTAAAGCGATAGTCGTCCCGGGGCAGACATGAGCCTGTGGCCCCAGAGCCGGGAAGCCTTTACGGTCATCCTTACCCCGGACAGACTTGCTTCATGTGATGTCAACCTCATGACAGCCCCCGAATGTAGGTGTGAGGCTTCCCCAAGGCACAGACTGAAAACCGAGGCTTGAGACAGTGGGTTCACATAGCCAGGAGCCGTGGACCTGGGCTCTGAAACCCGGTCCAGAGCCTGAGCCGCCCACCTCCCTGCGGGAGTGAGGTGCACTGGGTAACGAGACCGGAAACCACAGGACTCAGAGCGGTGCCTCCTGACTCATGCCCGGGGCCTCTGTCCCACTTAAGGGTTCCTGTGCCCTGAAAGGGAAGAGGAGAAGCGATGTGTGCCTCACCACCCGAGTCTCCCTCAGCCAGAGGAGGAACAGCCGCAAGTTCCTTTTAAATGAAAGCTCCTTTCAATGCCACGAGCCCTAGCAAGATCCAGTTTCTGCCCCAGGAAGCCTCTGAATGGGACACATTGGGAAGAGCACAGCCCTTGGCACAGGGAGGCGTGGCCTAGGATCCTGGCTTGGCCACTGGTGTGCTGGCTGTGTGACCTTGGGCCAGTGACTTAACCTCTCTGTGCCTGTTCCCTCATCTAGGAAATGAGGGAAATCCCCTGCCTTCCAGGCAGCGCATGTGAGATGCTCGGCAAATAGGAGGCCCCCTCCTCTCCTGCCTCCGCCACCACCTTCGGTTCTGCCCTTTGGAGACATCTACCTCTTCTGACTGCGGTCATGGCAGCTTCCCAGCTCTTGCCTAATAATAGCTCTTTATCGCATTAGGAGAACATCGCAAAAAGCAGTGCTTTCCTCTTTGGGGCAATTAGAGTAATTAGCATTGCTTTGTGCCGCCCTCCTGTTTTCCTTGAAAATTCTTGCTGGAGGAGGAGATTGCTGGCAGAAGAGTTTCGTTAGAGCTGTTAGGGGAAGTGACGGCTGCCCTGTGCTCAGGGCAGAGACCTCAGGATCTGCCTTCTCCTGGGACGACATGGTCTGGGCCCTTGTCATCATCTCAGATGACAGCCGCCCACCCAAACATGGTCTGAGGTGGCCCCTGACCTAAGGACAAGCCTGAGCCGGGAGGGAGGGAGGCGCTGGCCCTGTCGCAAGCAGGGGCATCTCAGGGGTGAGTGAAGCAGACAAACGCCAGGCTGCCTCCCAGTGTGGGTCACCATAGGCAGGGGATTCTGCCACCCCAGGGGCCAAGCCATAAGGCTTCTGGGGCAGAGACCCAGGCCAGGGTCTCTGAACTCTTCATGTGCCAAAGGAAGTGCCAGCTGGCTTCTAGAACTTAGCACAGGCGTGGCATAAACAGACACTTAACAATGACAATGATCGCCAACATGTGCCAGGTACTGCTTTCCGTGCTTCTCAGACCTTACGGCGCTCCCATGAAGTAGGGATGGAAAGCCCATTTTAGAGATGTGGAAACTGAGGCTGCAGGAGGGGACACTGCATGTGAGAGACAGAGCCAGATGAATACGGGGAACCTTCTGCAGAGCCCAGGCTCTTGGCCACGGCATTCCTGCTGCACACGTGTGTGTGTGTGTGTGTGTGTGCGCACGTGTGCGCGCGTGTGCGTGTGCGCGCACACCTCTGTGCACGTGAGCCTGTTACATGTATTCTCTCATTGAAGCCTCACAAAAGGTCACGTGGTATAAGTGTCTCTATTAGCCCCATTTTGCAGATAAGGAAACTGAGGCCCAGGAGGTAAAGGAACTTGAAGGTGCCGGTATGCTTGAAAGGAGGTGTTGGGCAGGCAGAGGGGGTAGCAGCAGCCTGTTTGGGCAAGTTGAGGTGTCTTCCAAGGCAGGAAACAGGAAGTGCTGAGGCCCATTCATACTGTGTGGATCCATAACAGTGAGCTCTCACAATGTACAGGGCTGGCCCTGGGGAGCAGAGGTGAGTTAGAAGTGGTCCCCGCGCTCCCTAAGCTCAGTCTATCAGAGAACACAAGCGTGTAAGCAGATGAAAATGATGGGGTGCGATGAATACTGTCACAGGGAGCACGAAGAGGGACCCTAACCAGCGTGGGAAGGTCTAGGACGGCTTCTCAGCACCAGTGGGACCCAGCACGTAATGAGGTGAGAGGCAGACTTCAATCAAGACAGCCAGGGAGATGATCACAGGCTGAAATCTTTTATTTTTAAATTGATTTCAGAGAGGAAGGGAGAAGGACAGAGAGAAACATCAATGATAAGTATCATTGATCAGCTGCCTCCTGCACGCCCCCTACTGGGGATCAAGCCCGCAACCCGGGCATGTGTCCTTGACCGGAATGAAACCTGGGACCCTTTAGTCCGAAGGCTGATGCTCTATCCACTGAGCCAAACTGGCCAGGGCTAGGCTGAAATCTTTATCCAACATCAGCCACGCCAGAACTTTCCACTGCTAAAAAGATACTCTTTGTCCGCCCGCCTCACCCCTGCTCTCCCCCCCCCCCGCCCTGCCTCCCTCTCCTCCCCTCCCCCCCCCCCCGCCCCCAGCTATCTGTAAAATTGAAGTTCCGCCAGTGAGTTCTCCCCCTGGGTCTTTGCAGAATGGCAGCTCAGGAACAGGGCAGGCCGGGACCTGGACCGACCTGTGGTCCCCGAGGACCAGAGCTGTGCCTTCTAGAATAGCTGCACGGCGGAGTTTCCGTCTGGAATCAGCTGTAGCCAGTGGCCACGCACCTCCCTCTGTCCTGCCCCGCCTGCCTGCACCAGCCCTAGCACCTCCCTTCACCAGCATTGCAAGGGTATAGGGAGGCCGTTCCTGCTTGTCCCTGTGGGTCTAGGTTTCTGCTGGCTGGGATTCTGACATGATGGCTAGAGCTTGGCAGCCCCCTTGGGCTCCCACACAGATCAGCCAGCTAACGCCCTACCCTCCACCCCCTGCTTCCAAGGAAACTAAGGTAAGGGAGCTTCTATTTATGGAGCACCTACTACGTGCCAGGCACTGTGGCTTATTTGTATTATATCTTCCCACAAACACCCTGAGGGGATGTGAAGCCCAGAGAGGGGCGGTAGTTTGTTCATGGCACACAGCACGTGAAGAGCAAAGCCGTATGCTGTGCGGGAGATGCTGCGTGCATCTCACTAATTAGTTAATGTCCCTGTAGAACTACTTTGGTCCCACATGGAACATGATGGTAAGAGGGAGCATATACTGGGTCCCTGCGAAGTGCCAGGCCCTTGAACTCTTGTAGCTGACATTCAGGGTCGGTGTGATGATCCTCATCTTACAGATGGGGGGAGGCCGGGGTTCTGGACATCGTAAGGACTCGCCCAGTTACTAGTGAGGGACAGAGCCAAGGCTTTTCTCAGATCCCAAACGCAGGTTCTTTCCAGTGCCGGGCAGCCTCGAACGCCCACCCTCTGTGGGGGCAGCTGCCCCACCTCGACCTCCACCCTGAACCCAGGGATCTGAAAGGCCCTCTGTGTGAGCGTTGTCACTGAACACGATGTACACGTTTTGGTGAAGAAAAGAACAAGAAGTAGGCAGGTTCTGGTTATGAGAAAATAACCAACTGTACAGGGAACTATCTTCTTGCGTTTTTGAGAAATCGTTTGCATAACCCGGTGTGATTGGTGATTCAGATGGAAATGCAGATGTTACCAGCCGAGCCTTTGTGATGTTTCCTAAGATTCCCCACACTTGCCTCTTTCCCGTCTTCTTTAAAGCAAAAGCCTTCCTCTTCAGCCTTGAAGGGAAGTTCTGTCTGGGGTTTACCTTTGACACGGACGCAGACCCCTTAGACTGGCAGGTAAAGCATGAGACTCCATTGCAGGGAGCAGATCTGACGCCTGTGTGTCAGCATAGTTCATTAGCACAGTTGGGCATCTGGCATTCTAATCACACTTCTACTGACACATCCCTACACAATAAAATGGGGGTACACTCAGCTGCAAGAGAGGAAGGTGCCCGGCTATAAATTGAAGTTCTTATGACTAAGAGAAAAGGGGGAGAGTGAGTTGTAGACGGTTCCTTGCCGTCTGTGACGTAGCTCTGTTTTCAGGTTGGGGCTTTACAGCAACCTCAGAGCAACTCTCTGATGAGCTACGCTCCTTGTCCCCGTTTTACAGCTCAGGCAAGTGGAGGTCAGAGGAGAGAGGGGTTTGCCCAAGAGCCGTTGGTGAGCAGCAGAGCCCTTCTGCCGTAACCTAAAGCTGCAGAATGAGGACCTCCACTGGACTATCAGGAGATCCCTTCCTGCCCCCAGAGGACCCAGATTTTGTAGAGAAACTGCCTGCATCTTTACTTACCGGGGTTTAGAGCAGCCTTGAACTTAGCGGTCCCCTCCCCTCTCTGGATTCCAGAGTCATGGAGAGTTGGAGACAGAGCATTGGCGATGGAGGGCGAGGGTGAGGCCCAGGAGCTTAGCTTGGGACCCTGGGGAGGCCTGGGCTCTGCCCGCCCACCGTGGCCCTCACTCACTGTCCTCCTGCAGGTCAGCGGCCACCTGGACTATGGCAAGCAGATGGACGTCATCCTGAAGGCTGTGGGCATCCCCACCAAGCCAGGCTGGGGCGAAAAGGGGCTTTTGATGGCCTCAGGCAACCTGCCCCAAGAGGAGCCTCGCCAGGCAGCAGCCGCCTCCTCATCAGACAAGACCACCGACCAGGATGGGCAAACCCAGGGTCCGGCACCCAGAGACACCTCCCAAGTGTCCGCATCCGCTGACCCCAGCCAAGCCCAGGTGCCAATGGGGCTGGACCAACCCGAAGGGGCCTCCCTTCCTGCTGCTGCCTGCCCTGCGGAGAACCCCCAGACCTGCAGCCATGGCGTGAGCCCCAACCCACTGGGCTGCCCCAGCTGTGCCAGCGAGATCCAGGGACCCGGCCCAGGGTTGGATTGACCCCCAAAGGGGACTCGAGCCGTCTTCCCAGATTCCCCTATGTGGTGCTCTCTTACCCCCGTCCACCGGGCTCCCCGCGGGAGCTCTGAAGAATTTCCACCAGTGCCTTTCCTAAACGAAGGCTCTGAAGAATTTCCACCAGTGCCTTTCCTAAACGAAGGCTTTGGGGTTGAAAAGCAAGGAATTGACAGGAGGGGGGACTGTAGGGAGACGATGGTTCCTCTCTGGAGAAGCAAGGCCAGAGCCCTGCAGAGTCAACCAAGCACAGGTGAGAGCCCTCGGACCCTGAACTCTAGGTCACACGTGGGGCTGGTTCTCCATCAGGAGGTCTGGGGGGCTCTTTGGGGCCTGAGGCCACCTGCCACCACCCCCCACCCCGCCACCTCAGTCAAGCCAGGTGTCTGCCTGCCCTTCCATCCACTCCAGGGCTGCCCTCCAGCCCACAGGCACCTCTGACACACCTACAGAGCGGGCACCAGAGGCAGCGGGCAGCTCACTCTCTCTGCTCTTGGGAGATCCGATCAGACCTGCCATGTACAGCCACGTGGGCGCCAGTCACACAGACACGAGGTGAAGGGCACCCCCCAAAGTTGCACTGCGTGGCAGCCCTGGATGTCATTGTAGCAGAGCACGGCGAGCAAATGCTGAATCCGCATGCGGTACGGTGGGAGCTGGGCCTGGTAGCAAGAGGGGGTTAGACGGGAAGGATTTCCTGTAGCAGGAGCAGAGGTGATGGTGATTGTAAAAATAAAGAATGGCTACCACCCAGCGAGTGTTTACCGTGTACCGAGGGCTTACATGGATTGCCTCAGTTGACCCCCACAACAACCCGATGAGGTAGCTACTGGTATCGTCTTCATTTTACACCTGTAGATACGGATGCCTGGAGAGGTCAGCTAACCTGCTCCAGCTCACATAGCTGGTCAATCTCAAGCTTGTCAGCTGGCCCCCGGAGCCCAGCTCTTAGCCATTGTACCAGGTGCCACTGGGCCTGGACCAACCAGAAGGGGCCTCCCTGCTGCTGCCTGCCCTGCAGAGAACCCCCAGATCTGCAGCCATGGTGTGAGCCCCCACCCACTGGGATGCCCCAGCTGTGCCAGCGAGATCCAGGGACCTTGCCCAGGGCTGCACCTCTAATGACCTTCCCCTTTGTTCCTCCCACTGTCCATGAGGGACAGGGCCAGAGAGCGTCCCCCCACCCACTGTGCAGATGGGAAAATCAAGATCCAGGCAGAGAAAGTATGGACAAGCTCTGGAGCAGGCAGTGGGGAGGAGAGATGGGAGGAATTGGCGTTGGAGCTGAACTGGTGCTCGGGCATGTGTATTTGTTCGTTCATTTAACAAATATTTACCGAACTCTTGCTGCCATTAATCCAGACAGCTCGTGGGAAACTGAGGCCCCGAGAGGGTAAGGGACTTGGCTGAGGTCCCAGAGCAGATTAGGGGCAGAGTGTGGACATGAACCCAGGCCACCTGTGCCAGGGTCTATGCCCGCTTCATCAGCAGCGTCTCCAGCCCAAGTGGCCCCTCAGGCGGATCCAGTCCACACTCCAGTGAATCCAGTCCACACTGCAGTCACTGCTGTCAGCTCGTGTTTATTGATAGTCCACTCGAGCAGGCCTGGGGCAGAGGGGAGCCCCCACAAGCACCATGGACCCTCCGCAGCCAGTGGCCAGCAGCCAGGGCCAGAGTCTAGTCAGCACCAAGGGGAGTGCCCGGCCACCTGCGGAGCCCCCTGGGCGTTTGGGTGGATGGAACTTGGTGCCGGTGGAGAGTAAGAAAAACCTCAGACTGAAGATTAAAAATGGCAGCAGAGTAAGTGGACACACTCAGGAAAGACCTCAGCCTGAAAAGGAACCTACAGCAGGTAAAGTGACTGAGCGCTCCCTCAAACACAAAAAATAAAACAAGCCCTGACCGGTTTGGCTCAGTGGATAGAGCGTCGGCCTGCGGACTGAAGGGTCCCGGGTTCGATTCCGGTCAAGGGCAGGTACCTTGGTTTCGGGCACATCCCCAGTAGGGGGTGTGCAAGAGGCAGTTGATCGATGCTTCTCTCTCATCGATGTTTCTAACTCTCTATCCCTCTCCTCTCCTCTCTGTAACAAATCAATAAAATATATAAAAAATAAAAAAACAGGTCCTGTACCAGGGTTCACCTGCCCACAGCAGGGGCAGCTCCTCTTCAACTCTGCTGACCTGAGTGGCCACCTCTCCCCCTTCCCTCACTGACCCAGGAAAGGCCAGAAGGAGGTAGGGCCAGGGGATGGTTCTGCATCAGCAGGTCCCCTTCTAGGTCCAACGAAGCCCAGGGCAGAAGAACACCCATCCCAGATGTTGAGCAAAAAAACCACCAGCCACCCCTGTGCCCCAGGAGAGGCAGTGCCGTAGCCTGGGAGCTGGGATGGGGCTGAAGAAGAGGAGGAAGATGGGGGAAAACAATGGGAACAAATGGCCCTTCCTGGCCCGCAGCCAGAGGCCGGGGGGCTGAATGCCGGGAGGTATAACAACCGCAGGTACCACCGACCATCTGCCGGGTGCTGGCATCGATGCACACTGTCCCCGTTCCCATGGCAGCCTACGAGGCAGGCGTCATTGCCCATGTTGCACATACAACAGGCTCAGAGAGGTTAAGTAACCCGTGCAGAACTAGTAAGTAATGGAGCATGGATTCCAGTTGAGGCCTGCCTGGCTCCCAGGCTCAGGGGTTCCCTGTGAGGCCACACACATCCGAGGGGCTGGCTGGTCTAAAAACCGCCCAGCAAACCATCCTCAGGGTTAAGGATCAGCGAAGCCAGCGCACCTCAAACCACGCGCGCGCATGAGTCACCGGGGACCTGGCTCACATGTAGATTATGACTCGGCAGGTCCGGGGCGGGGGCAGAGGTGTGCGTTTTCAACAAACTCCCTGGAGACCATGCCCACGAACTACAGTTAGAGGAGCAAAGGGCTCAGCCTGCACTGAGCCGTCTCTGCAGACGTGCGACCTGATAGAATGTGCAAAGGCCATGGTCTTCACCCTAATCTGCACCAAGGGCCCCCTGCCCTGCTCCCGGAGCCCTCCAACCATTCTCTACACAAGTGACACTCAGCAATGCCGCCTCCTGGAGACACTGTATGAAGCCAGCGATTACCCCGCAGGTGGAGGACCCGGAGTGGGTAGTGGGTCTGATTCAGTGCACCCCACCAGAGTTCAGAGGGCCCCCGAGAGAACTGCAGCCTCCTGGTCTCAGCCAAGAGCTGGCCCAAGGCCTTGGGGGCTTGGTTGCACCCAGTCCAGCTCCCCCCTGACCAGCCACAAGCCCCATCAGTTCGTGGGGGCACCAAGCAGATGCAGCCGCAGCTGGGGCTCCACGGGATCCCTGTTGAAGAAGTTGACGGTGGCAGAAGTCCTGGCAGGCGGCAGGGTGTCCCGGGTGGCCTCTCCCGGCAGCAGCAGCTGGGCCGGGAGCTGCAGGCCTGAGGAGCCTCCTGAGCCTGAGTCAGGGTCGGAGTCGGAGTCCGGGGGCAGGGGCAGGGGCAGCACCTGCTGCAGGCTCAGGCCCGGTCGGGCGCCGCTGTGGGAGGTACGCATGGAGGGTGAGGCCACGCTGGCCCGGTGCTCCTGGGGCCAGTGGGGACAGGGCAGCAGCCTGCCCAGGGCCCGCTTGAAGTCCCGCATGAAGAGGGGGTAGATGATGGGGTTCATGGTGCTGTTGCAGTAGCCCAGCCATGTGAGGACATCGAAGAGGCCTGGGGAGACGCAGTCGCACACAGCCTGGAGGGAAGGGTGCATCACGCCTGGCCCCAGGGCAGGAACACAGACCACCCCACCCAGCAAGGCCGGACAGACACAGCCAAACACACCATGAGCGGCAGCCCACCTTCCTCCCTCCCGTGCCTGGGCTGAGGTGGGGCTTGGGGGCCTCCCAGCGAGGCCTGGACTCACCTGCCGCCCCCTGCAGTGGCATTACCTGGGCAATGTTGGCCACAAAGAAGGGCAGCCAGGTCACAAAGAACATGCCCAACAGGATGCCCAGGGTCAGGCTGGCCTTCAAGGCCTTCCTGCTGTGCTTGGTGGCCAGACGCCTGCTGTCAGCTGACTCCGTCCCTGGGCGTGGGGTCCTGGGCACCTGCAGAAAGGAAGGCCACGTGAGTCAGCGGGGAGAGAGCCCCGGTGGGACCTTGATCCCATCCACAGACTGAGCCTCAATCCTAATTCTAGACTGGACCCTAGAATCAGCAATAGATTGAGTCCTGATCCTTGACTCAGCCCCAACTGTAGCCCTAACCTGAGGCCTGACCCTGAGTCCAGACCAAGCCCTGACATCAGCCATGAACCAAGGACTGATCCCTGAAGGCTTCCATAGACTAAGCCCTGTATAACCAAGGTGTCAAACTGAGCCTCAACCAGGGACCAGACTGAACCAACCTTAGGCCCAGACTGAGCCCTGATCCCAGCAATAAACTGAGCCCTGATCCTGACGCAGCTCTTCACAAGGAGCTCTAGGAACTGCAGTGAGACAGAGCAACACTGCCCCAAACACAAACCAGTTCAAAAGACCCACACTCCGTGCAAAGAACAACTCTACACAGGCCAGCATGCGCGACCATGAGCCCCAGCACCTCCCAAAGCCTTTGGCGCCACAAGAATTAGTTGCGATTGAAGGGTATTTGACAAGAGGGCCTGCTGCTATCCAGGGCGTGGCAATCTCTTTGTATATGGGTTCTCTTCAGTGTTTGGAGTAAGATTTTGCTTGCCCTGTTACCCTCACCCTCCACAAAATAAAGTGCTATTCTGAAAGCATGTGCAGAGAGCAAATGTTCACAGTGAAATTTATTATAATTTACTAGGGTGCTAGTGACCTTGGCATTTCACAGCTCAGATCATGTGTGGACTGGCAGACGTCTCCATTCCCAAGCATAGACTTGAAGAGCAGGGATGTGGGGAGAAAGAGGGGAGAACAGAGCTGCTCCACAGCAGCCATCGAACGAGGGGCAGGGGCATGAAGAGGTTAGAATTTGACTTTGCAAACTGGGGACCCACAGTCCCAAAACATAAAAATGTCTCCTTGAACTGGATGAGCCTTTAGCCCAGAAGTTCCCATAACTGTTTCAACCTCATGAGCCCATTGAGAATCTAATGAAATCTACACTACCCCCCAGAAAACTAAAAGCTTATCAATTTTCACACACACTCACGAAAAACATTCCCACACTTTCAGGGGCTTCTGAGACCATCTTAAAGTCCATCATTGAACCGCTAAGGATCCATGGAGCCTCCCCTAAACCATGGGTTGTAAGCAATTTGGATTTTCATACATAAGATGTATACAAAGTGAGACCCGCCTACATTCACAATGTAAATAAATATCAGTGCGCAGGAGATCCGGACACTTCATTGAATTATGGAAAAGGGGTGTGTGCTTCTGGGGAGCACACCTGGGCTTTGAAAGCCAGGGATCCCCCCAACATTTCCTAAACTCCAGCTTAGTTCACGAGGCAGCCAGTAGTGGGTTGGGTATAGAGATGACAGTCAAAAGGGAACCAGATTCCCAGGCAACCTTCCCAGATGGAAAGGGGGCGGAAGAGACAAAGCCAGGATGTGTCAGTCCCATCACATTAGCTCTCAGATTCAGGACACCCTCCCCCCCGCCCCCTACACACACACACACACACACACACACACACACACACACACCTTCCAGCCTTGCCTTTCTCTCCCCGCCTCCTCAAAGCAGCGAGACTTTGTTCTTGTCCATGGTGCTGAAACACCCGCTCCCTACTAGCCA